TGTCTTTTGCCTTCTGTCTCCCCAGCCACCGGTTGAGATCTCGTTTCTCCACCTGGACCAAGTTATTATGTGACAAGTTTTTCTTAAGTCTCACTCCTTCTCCCTTCCAACCCATCCGACACCAGCTGCCAGACTGGCCTGTCTGGATCACACATTTAGTCATCAGCACCCCTCAGTGACTCCTTGTCTTTGGTGGGAGAACAATTATATGACTTGGCTGCTGCCTGCCCTCCAGTGTCATCCTCCAAAGCACCTCATCTCGCATCCTTGACATTTTACCAGTCCTAAAGCAAGACAGGGAACCCATTTCTTATCTTTCTAATTGTGCGGCTCAAAAATTAAACATGTAACTTGCTCACAGACCAATGATGGATTAGGTAACTTTTAGAAACACTACCCTGGGCATCTGATTCTTCTGTTGAATCCAGTGATTGATTTCTGTGCCTCATTTTGAATCTGTAAAGTTGCACGTCTAAACTAATAAGGGTGTTGCTATTAGAGGAAAGGAGCTTCTGTGCACATTTTAACTTTGGTCAAGGAATTCAGAAGTCCATGTAATGTACATTAATAAAGTATTATCACTGAGAATAATGAACCGGAGGCCCTAAAGGCATTCTAGCATATGTTACTGGGTTAAAGTTTAATGTGGCGTTTTTATAATATTTGCAACTTAGCTAGTGATACATAATGTTTAGGAAAGGGTTTTCAGGAAGACTTAGTGTCCACACCTTGCATTCGGATAACCGAACCCTGGAGGTTTTAGATTTGTTTATGGCAGAGCAGACATGGGAAAGCGGACCCTGCTAGCACCACGAAGTGTTCGTGCAGCAAAGATTTATAGAAATGTTATAAAAGGCACGGCAGGGACCTGGTACTTCTTGGTTGATGGCACGTCACTACTGGGGTGGTATTTACTGTTTTTCTTATAAGCCTGTTAACAAAACGTGGTAAGGAAGATCAAAGCAAACCTGCTTTATTTTCCTTTCAAAGTGTCAGTCTGCCTTTGTGAGTATTTCTTTGTCCAGCAGAGCCTATCGGAAGCTCCGCACGATGCTGCAGGACGGGAGAATATTGTGCCTTTATTGCCACAAGCCATCCGGAAGAGGCGTCATCCTAGGAAACTAAGGGAGCCCTTTACCTTCAAGAATGGGGATGGCGAAGGACCTGCTGGGACCCTTTGTTCCCCAGGGGTTGTTTGAGTTCCTGTCAACCTATGCTGGCTTTGTCATTTTCAAACGATGCTGAGGTTTTTAAAAATATTACGTTAACACGTGGATTTCTAAAACTCCTGCTAGAAGTACATTGCAGCTTACTTTGGGGGAGATGCATAGAGCATTTAAAAGATGACTGAAGTCCAGTAGTTTTGAAGAATTAATCATCTCCTGTAATATAGAAATGTGGGAAAGCATTTTGGTACTCCTGGGCCCCATTGAAAAGCAACTAACTAATATGGATGTAGAACTGTAATTTACCAGTGACTGACCATTCAATCCAGCAGTAATCATTTTTGTTTTCAACTACAGCACTTGATTAGTACAAATCAGCCTCTTTACCATTTCAGTAATGTTTCTGTAAAGCTCACTAGGCCTGTAGAAAGAAAAATCTAGGTACGCTTTCTCACTGGTTAAACAGATTTCTCTTTGCAAGAGGATATTCTTAAATGCACTCAGGGGCTATGCTATTTTCCAGTTTTATGGTCACAAAATAAAAGCTTAGGAAGCATAAATGTGAACAGAAGCTTGAAGGTGTATGTTCGGATGCGTGTGCCTACATGTATTTAGTCTTTTATTTAACATCGTGACAGCAAGGCCCAAGTCATGAGCTGACTTCCCTGCTAGATCAGCAAGTTTAACTCGGTTTCATGTGCATGGGTTGGTGCCAGGCAGCCAGGGTAGAAGGACAGAGAGACATAAATTCATTGTGTACTAAGGGAGTGGGGCTGTGGGTGGGGTGGGAACAGCAGCTGCTCAAGGGCCTGTTGACCTGTTTGGTTCATAGCAGTGATGAATGGTACCACTTTCCACCTATGATTGCGAGCACATTTTGTGATTGTTCTGAAACATTTATTTTCTGTACAAAGCCAGGCTAGTTGTAAAAATCTACCCTTTTGCGCCAGGCAGTGTCTCATTTCTCTCGTTTACACAAGGTCTCCGTTACTATATCACTTGCTATTTTAACAATTTAAACGAAACAATTGCAAAACCTGGTTGACTCTCGGAAGTCTACCTGCCCCAATTCCCGTGAGAACTGAATTAAGCTCCTGTATCTGCAGGCAGCATGCAAAGGCGATTGTGCCACACTGGAAACACTTATTCGTGCTGAGGAACAGTAAAGAAATTCACAGTGGTATTCGTTTTACTTCTGGGGGTATTTAAATTTAAGTTCTCCCTTTCCACATTTGCTTTTATTTGGGGTCAGAATGTAAAAAGGAGAAGACTATAGCCCCAAGCTCTGCCCCTACAGGGATCAAGCCACAGCAGTCCTGGAATTATATAACTTAACCCCTGTATCTGTTAAAGGCTGGGTTTGAGCATTTAAGAAACTAATCTCAAATGTTTTCGTATGTCTTAAATGAGGTAAGAAATGTGTACTTCATGGGTAGGAAAAGAATCCTTTATTATGATTATTTGATCTTGAGCTGTTTGCTTCCCTGTGACTAGTCCCAGCTGTGACTGAGATGCAGTTAGTTGGTGCTGGAGTCAGGACTGACAGGGCAGCAGGATGAAAGCATCTTGGCGTTAGAGCAGATGGGCCTAGGTTTAATCCTGACCCGGTGATTTAACTAGCTGTGTTAACTTGAACCTCTCTAAGCCTCAGTTTCCTGATCTGTCAGTTGGTAACTCCTCTCTCTTGGGGTTATTGTAACTAACAAAGATAACATATCTAACGCACCTAGCACAGCGTCAGACATAAAGTTGAACATGTTCCCAGATGACGGGCTATATTATATTCCTATTCTTGAGGCTTCCTTGCCTTATGGGTTACATGATGGTGGCAACCTCTGACCTCCTTTGGTAGCCTTTCGTTTCCCCCAATAAATGATTTTAAGTATAACTCGTATTCTTTTAAAAACAAAGCAAAACAGCCATTTTGGTGGTTTTCAGATTTTGAGACAAATCAAAATTCTCCAGGAGACCCTCAGGCTAGAGCATGAAAAATTCGGTCTGTGTCACTGAGGGGTATTCCACTGAAGTTAACAGAAGCAGAAAACCATTGATTGCCTGGACTGGGTGGTAGAGATGGGCTGTCCTGTGATCTCTCTTCCCCGGGACCTTCATTCTGCTGGGTGCCTTGAGTGCAGCCACAGACCTCAAGGAGCACTCCTTCCCGAAATTTGTAATCTTGTCTGGACAACTTAAACGCTAAGTAGTATTTGCTTTGCTGTCGCATTTCTCCATAAAACGACTGAGGCCATCCTTGAAAGTAATGGAATGGACATCTTCTGCAGAGGTCATTTGAATTTGAGCGCCCACTTTGGTTTTCAAAAACCTCTCTTGGGAAGGATTTTTGTTGTCATCCTAGGACAACGTATAAATATTATCATTTTCATTTTTTTATTTGGAAGGTGGAGAAAAAGGTCCCTTTTTCTTGATTTCTTTCAGTAATACTTTTATTAAACTCAATGGAGACGATCAGAAGCTGTTAGCTTTACTTGGATGAGGAATATTTCTGAATGAAATGTGTTATTTGCCCAAGACACTGATTTTCATTTTCTCTACGAAAGGTAGTTTCAACTATACTTTGTATGTTGCTTTTGTAAGTACTAGCCTGATTCTCTAGAAATAAAAGAAACTAAAGTAGATTTGAAAATATTTCATAAATATGTTTATGTGTGATAATTGGCCTGTGTTTATTGATCATCTGATTAAAGAAAAATAAATAGGAAATAAAAAATTATTTAATTCAGAAAAAAGTTTACCATTTACAGAAGGTTATGGAAATACATTAACCAGTTTGTATCCACTGTTTATTTCAAGGCATGGATCCTCCCTTTCCTTTCCTCTCCACATCTTGCCATCTCTGTAGAAGTTGAAGAGGGATCTAGGATTCTAAACCTTGTAGGCCAAGTATTTGTCAGAAGGAGAAGAACTGGAGTAGGAAGAAGAGAATCTAAATTTTCATCGTAGACTTGCTGCCAACTAACATTTGACTTGGGCAAGAAACTTCACTTCGTGGACCTCAGCCTCCTTGTGTGTAAAATGATGCTGATTCAGATGCCTTCTCAGACCCATTCAGCTCGTTTTCCAGTCTTTTATTCCAAATGCCTACATCACAGGTTAACATGATTTTAAATAAACTCCATATATGAAATTTCCTGTGTTTCTCTAAGCCACACATCTAAACATGTTAACTTAATTAAATCTCCCAGCCTTTGCAGGGAAAGATTTCTGAAGATTTATCTGTTTTTTTCCAGCAGGAATTTGCTAACCGTTTAGTACATTTCCAGTCCGAGACTGGGCAGTATAAGTAGATAAAAAGCAGAAGTGTCCCTTGATGGAGTTGACAGTTGAACTGGAAACACCTTAAATAATTATGAAGCAAAATTGAACTAGTTACAACAATGTATTATAAGATATAATTAAAGCAGCTGCTCTTTATTGAGCACTTCTTACTGCTATAGCACCACCATCATTCAATCCTTGCCCCTAATCCTATGAGAGAAATGTCATCACCGCAATTTTACAGAGAAAACTGAGGTACCGAGAGGATAGTGAATTGTCTGAAGTTGCTCTTCCATGCAAAGGATTTAGAGAGGATATTCACCTCGCCTCAAAGTCCCTGCGTCCCCTCTTGGATAAGTTTAAGGATTGAGAAAAAAATAAGAGTGGGCTGGGAGCAAAAGGATTGCTTTGGACTTTCTAAGCTGACTTGAATTTGATTAAAAGGCAGAAACAAAAAGAACAAAGATTATTTTCTTAATTTGGAGGTTGACTTTTTAATGTCATTTATTGTATATTTAGGTTTTTTTGCACACAGTATAAATTTTAGGCAGCCTAGAAATGGAGAGTCTTATAAAGTGAGAAAGCTTATTTCAGGAGAAAACAATAATCACTTGAAGGTGTGCTTTGGAGAAATCAGCCCAGAAAAGAACTAAAATTGGGTCAAGTGTTGAGACTTGCTCAGCATTGCTGTTAGGGACTCGCCCAGAGCAGTGGGCATTGGGGGGAGTTGGCTGGATATAATCAAGGCAGCTTTTTTCCCATTGGAGGATCGTAGTGTCTCATTTCTGTCCTTTCGGCTAGACTTGCAGAAGGGGTATTCCAGATTGTGGTCTCTGTGAGAACAGGCACAGTTCTCTTCCCTGGAGGGTCTTGGGTACAGGGCCGCACTGGTCCTCAGGACAGTTGCCACCAAGCCTGCGTTTATACAGACTCTGGGGTTGTAAGAATGTCAGGGAAACTGGGATGTGTTACTGAGTGTGAAGCGAGCTGTGGGGTACCAGCCATGCCTTCATTTATCCAGGGGCTCGCAATCATTATCACGATGGAAAACCTGGCCCCCCAAAAGAAGAAAACACCGTCTTGCCTTGAGCCCCTTTCTCCCAGCTGGGGTCCACTGCTGCCTGTGCAAGCAAAACTGCATTTTCCTCCCCTCCTGCTACTCCGGCCGCCGACTGGAAGAGGGAGCTGCCCAGCGGCTGGGCTGCTCGCCTCACGCTGTAACCCTCTGCTGGCAAGTTCCCAGGACCAGCATCCCGGCAGGCTGGCGGCTCCACCGGGGAGATGGAGCCGCTCCCAGCCCTCCTTGATTAGGATAAGTCAGGGTTGTCAGGGCAACTGTTAACGGCAGCATCTCCTGTTTTCCCCTCTGTGCTGTGTGTGCTGAATATTTTACTGTGCCGTAGCAGGAAAAGAAGATTGGGAAAAGGTGCTGCAGCAGGAGGGAGAAGCTGGGATCTGATTGAGCAGGTCAGGCAGTGGGGGGAAGCATCCGACCTGCGTGCCTTTCTGGAAGGAGAGAGAGACAGAGAGACAGAGAGACAGAGTGTGTGTGTGTGTGTGTGTGTGTGTGTGAGCGTGAGCGAGCTTGAGCCAGCACATGTGCCTGTGAGGGGTAAGTGGGAGGGGGCTTGCAGAGGAGGCGGGGTGCTGCTAGGTGAGGGGGAACTGTGGGGCCTCAGTTGCCAAGAGGCTGGTAGTATCTGTCAGCTGTTTGCACACTGTTTACCCATAGGGGATCTATTACAAGTGCTCAAATGAACCGGCAGCTTAGAAACTAGCAGCTTCCTGGGAGCTGCAATTATATAAGCATATAGTTTTGATAGACTAATAATTAAAAAACAAGTAGCAGCGGTATGCCTGGATCAGCTACAGCTTTCCGACAAGAGAGACTGAAGAAGACCAATGCAAGGCCAGTCCCCCTTGGTTTATTCACCATTAATGAGGAAGATGAACAGCAAAAGAATGGACATTCCAGAAGACCAAAAGGTATGCATTAGCCCTACCCTTTGGTCAGAGCCGGAGACAGCCCCCGTTTCCCACGCTCTCTGTAACACATTTTCTCAACTATGTTCGGGGTACACACTGCGTGGAGTGCTGGTGATCTCCTAGCACAGTTTGCTGGTGGTATTTATACACTCTGTAGGGCTGTGTATGCATGAAACGGGGAACAGATTTTGCAGATTTGGTAGGTTTCAGATCAGCTGCCTTTTTGACCCAGGCTGCTTTCTTGGCCTAGAGAGCTTTAATCTTCACTTAAACAAACAGTTGCCAATGGCTGTCCTCATCAGGAGGAGGGAATATGAGTTATCAAGGTTTAAATGAACCTCTCCAAGACCTTCCATAGGTGCATCAGGTGATTTCTGTTTAATGAGGCGAGTTCCTCAAGAGGGATGAGTTGGATAGAGTGACCTAAGAGTGCAGCCTTTCCATGGGCAGTGGGTCAAGATATTACCCCCTTTTCTATTTTGAAGTGCTGAGAGAGGAGGAAAACAAACACTGAGCACGACTGTGGGGGGAAAAGCTGGGGAGCAGGGAGGGGACCGTGAGGTTTTATAACTGCTGATGGCAACTCTGCTACATCTGTATAGAGGTGGAGATGGGCTGGCTACAGGAAGGAGAGGACCGATTCATGTGCTGTCCTTTCATGAGGGTGAAATCCAGCAGCAGCTCGCCGGCTTCTCTCGTCCCCACGTACTGCATCATCTTTAGTGCTGTCTCATGGCCACCCTGCCAGGGCTGCAATGATCAGCAACGTCATGCATTTTTGAAGAAGGGCTTTGAGGCTTACATTTTAAGTTTTCCAGTATCCGAATTCTTGCAACCCCCCTTCGCAAAATATATATGAGCTGTTCTTAAGCTGATAGGTTATCAGTTCTGTTGCTGCCGACGTGCTGATTACGTTTTAGCTCACTTTCAGATTGTTCTATCACTGAGAGATCCCATTTTCCTCAGTGTGGCACAGAGCAGTAGCACGGCAAAGTAGCAAGCAAATGTTTGAGCAATGATAGAATGAGTGTTTACATAGAATGCAGTGTCTGAAGATGACGGTCTCTCTCTCTCTCCTGGTTCTGTAGTGTATCTGTTTGCTTTTATTAAATATAATTGAAACTCTCTAGTTTAAATCCAAAAGTATATTTTTACTTCATTTTTAAAAGGCTGTACACAGGGAAGTTCTAGTAAGTGGAGTCTTATTGCTGTAGTTGACTTTATTTTACGGTCAGACATTGCTTCTGTCTGGGGACCAACCCACCTCAGGCATCTGTTGGTGCTGTAACTGGAAGGTGACTTAGGTGATTCTTTTATTTGCCCATGAATTAGATGTTGAACCAGGGTGTTCTCTTGATGAGAACTCAATACTTTAAATTGTTAGTAGCAAATCATTTGGCCTCCTAGGACTTGGTGACTTTTAAAATTAATGTGGATTTGTTGAATCCTGGCCACTGTGTAGTTTTGGAAATATTGTTCTTGATTTGAGGCACTTTTTCCTTGGGTGTCCTGGAACAGTCATTTAGGATAGCCATCCATTTTGTCCTTAGTAATTCTCTTGAATTCCTCTTCTATCTCCGAAAGGTTCTTTTCAGTTGCCTCTAGCATTTTTTTTTTTTTTTAAGGAAAGAGGGCTGGGGGGAGTCGGTGCTTCTAAAAATCTGTTTGGTTTTGACAGTTTATGCAACTCCTTGGATAAAAGACTTAAATCAAGGAGTTTTCTGATCCCCTACCATTTTGCTTTTTCTACCTTTCCCCACACCAAGGGCAGGGGGGCGGAGGCGGAAGAGTAGGGGAAAAAAGCCCCGGGCTGATAAGGATATCCAGACTTTCTTTCTGTATATCCCCAAATGTCTCTAATTTATGGACACATTCAATAAAATAAGCAGATAAAGCACCTTGGGTATCTCTAATATTCTTTTATTTTATTTTATTTTATTTTTGTGGTACGCGGGCCTCTCACTGTTGTGGCCTCTCCCTTTGCGGAGCACAGGCTCCGGACGCTCAGGCTCAGCGGCCATGGCTCACGGGCCCAGACGCTCCACGGCACGTGGGATCTTCCCGGACCAGGGCAAGAACCCGTGTCCCCCATATCGGTAGGCGGACTCTCAACCACTGCGCCACCAGGGAAGCCCCTCTAATATTGTTGATGGTGAAGACTATTGGCTTTGATTCTGAATTTCTCATCAGGTCTATAGGAGCAATAGGAATGCTCACTTTCAAGTCTAGCTTTGTACATCAGGACAGTGATGGAAATATTCTGCGTCTGCACTTGTCCAGTATGATAACCACTAGCCCCACGTGGCTAGGAGCACTTGCAATATGGCAAACTGATTTTTAAAATTTTAATTACTTTCAGTTAAATTTAAATATAGCCACATGTGGCTAGTGGCTACTTTATTGGACAACACAGTTCTAGTCCATAGAGCTGTGACTTTCTGAATTTGTGTCCTCTTTGCTTTGTCCATCCTTGACTGCTTCCTGCTGCCAGATATGGTCGGTCCTGAAATGAATGCGGTTATTAAGAAGGGCCTCGTCTAGCAGACAGCCTGTTCTCTGCAAGGTAGCACATTAACCTGGATTTTCAGACAATTTCATTTTTCCTTTTCCACTTAGATGTCATTGCCTGCTCTGTTATTCTTACCAGTCACTAGTTGCCTATACCATCTTTTGCAACTTTTAATGAACTCCTATTTTCTAAATTATTTCCAAAGCATCATAGCTGGATGACATACAGGTTATCTTTTATGTCTGACTATTGAGATAAGCAATCAAAAATTTGGGGGTTTTTTCCTGCTTACTCCATGGTCTAATCACCTAACCGTGTCTCAAACCTGGTTTTCATGCTTAGTATCTTTGTTCTATCATTACCAGGAATAGAGAAGCTTGCTATCTAAATTGAATAAGCTAAATGCTGCTATCCGGGATTACCCTGGGTTAATGACAGTAGCATCTTTCCAGGTACTCTACTGTTAGAAAACCATCATAATGAACTCAGTGGGAAGGAAAATGTCATTTACCATCTGGACTCCCAATGGTGGCTTCAAAATTACCTGATGGGGTCAGACAGTAGTTTGGTTAGCTGGTAGACTAGATCAACTATTAAAGGAGAGATTTCTCTCCCATGTGATCAATAGCAATATGAATGTTTTACATGCCTGGTTATTATTGACGTATAACACTTAGTAATTGAGAGTGAGCTGGGCGTATGCTATTGCTCTTATACCTCAGAACCCAAGCCTCAGTGTAATGCTGACTGTATAACTTGCTTAGGAGAGATTGTTTAGGTATTGCAGTGACTAAATGCCATTGAATAGGTTTCAAGGCAAACCTGCCTTATGATGAGTTTTGCTGAGTACCGTGTGATTATTAAGTAATATGACATTTTCTCCCTAAACCAGTATTTGCTAAGTGCTCTGTGCAGATTGCTCTGCTGGGCATTGTGGAAGTGATGCAAAGATAATTGGCATGGTTTCTGCTCTCAGAAGTGTTTAACTGTCTAGTAGGAGAAGACAGGTATGTACAAATAATGCAAGAATATAAACTGAAATCAGAGGAAGGGTTGACAGGGTAATGAAATGATCTCTGCATACGTCCATGCCCTTTTCTAGACTGTAAGCTGCTTAAGGGCCAGGACTACTCCTCTTCATAAGTACTTTGTAGAGTGCAGGGAAAGCTATTGAATGGAGGTAAATTTAACATTCAGAAATAATTTTCTCTGGTTCTTAAAGGTCTTACTAACATAGGAATTTTAAGAAGTGTTGATGGTATTAGAATTGTCCTTCCAAGGTAACTACTTCGAAAGAGACAGTGCTATGTTTGGATGTGTCTGATGTGTCAATTGTATTATTCTCTACCACACTGCATTTGTCTAATCGTGTACTAGGGATTCTGCTGTTCTGTTGTTTTCCATCATAGTATTCATCATTTTCTTTGAAAAAAATGAAAGTATATGTTTACAAGGTGGAATCAATTGACTACTTTGTTAATAACTAGGTTAATGCCTTCTGCCCCTTTTGTTAGCTAATTGCAGGTTAGAATGTAAAGAAATAAACATTTCTCCTTGAAATCAGGACACAGTAGTTCTGACAGACTGTGCCCTCCTTCTCCCCTCCCCACTCCCATTTGGTTAAAATGTGTATTGATGGAGCCTGCAGTGACTCCTCTTCTTTTGACTTATCCACTGTAAAGGTAGAATTTCTGCCAGTTAAAGTTTCCAAATGAAATACAATCTACCATTTACCGTTTATATTCCTGTTGGATAGGTGGTGATCTAGCACCTCTGTGTAATGTCCTCTTTGTTAAGTCCTGAGTCTTTTTCTTTTCAAGGAGGAGTGTTATGTTAAGAAGTGTGAATGCCACTCAAGAGTCATTCTCACACATTTCCTCGTTTCTTTTCCTCTTTTGTTCCGTAGGACTTGGATCCTTGTCCAGTTCCCAGTGTCCTTATTTGTGCCATTTCAAGACTAGGCAAAAGGTTTTAACCATAGAATTTTACAGCAAGTGAGGCAAAAGTATAGGTTAGAAGAACAATAATATCAAAGATCTCTATTATGAGGAGAAAATCTTAGATTGATTGGTATAACTTGTATTTCTTAAAAGACCCTAAATACAATGTTTTATTCGAAGCATTTATATTTGTTAAAAAAGAACAGAGCATATCAGGAACAAGGATCACAACATCTAATGTATGGCTTGCACACACTGGATTCTCATAAATATCTGTGAGTAAGTAGCTGTCTTTCAGGTATTCTGTGTTCTAGAAGTAGAAATTAACATATGGATCACTGCGTACTAGTGGAACACAACTTAACCTGCACCTAACCACGTTTTTTTGTACAGTGAGGTACTACATATCATGGAATTTGTTTTGCTCTATAAAACTAATAGGCTTAAAAATTGGGTGCCTGTTTCAAGAGCTGTTATCAGTGGGGCTAAAATTTAGCTGACTGCTCCAACCATAGGAAGCATAAACACATATTTGGTGGGGATCTCCCAGC